TTCTACTGTATGTCCCAATCACTAAGCGGCTTTTAGTGATTTGACTTGTTTGTTAGTGGTGAAAGTAAAATGTGCAGCTTTTTTTTTGTTTTTGATAAAAAAAATGTGCAAGTTATCTTAAGAGAAAGATATGATTCTTAAAATTAAAACCAAAAAGAAGAAAAAAGATATGATATGTACATGATATATAGAAGAGCAAAACTTTTAGAGTTTTGTTAGGCATTAATCCAGTGAGAGAGACTTAAAAAAAGGGGCAATTACAAAAATATCATTTTTTGTGTGCACATTTAGAAGAATGCCACTTAAAGATGTCCATTTACAAAAATACCACTAATTATAGATTTATAAAGTCTATATCTTAAAATTCTAAACCCGAAAAAATGTTTTGATACCTAAAATCCCCTAAACACTCAAAACTAAACCCTAATAGAACATAGTTAACCCAAACATAAATAATATAAAGAAAAAAATAATTTTGAAAAAGTGGCATTTTTGTAAAGATTTCAAAAGTGTGGTATTTTTGTAAAGTGACATTTTTCGAAATTTCTCTTAAAAAAATTCAAATGTATTACTCGCTGATATATGTTTATATCAAGTTCTTTTTTTGGAAAGCTTAGCAAAAAAAATTGATACAAAGCCAATCAATAGATCTTAATCAAACCAAACCATACACGCTCATGTTTTCGTATTTAGATCAATTTCAATTTATAGGTACAAAGATAATAGACGTTCACTCTTCTACTTCTCTATCTCACATTTATAATCCATTGATTATAACCAGTTACACAAACGGACACCCACTAAATAGGACGCAAAAACCTTCTTCTTTACGTTTGTTTGTTTCTTTAATTAACATATTCTTATTTTCATATCTTCATCCAGAATTGGCAAAATAAACTCTTTAAGGACACATTTTATTGATGAAGATATACCGAGAAATTAAATTATTACACAATGTTTGTTTTTATTTTTGTCAACCTCACAAATTAAATAAAATACCAGGTTTGGTTATCAGTTTCAGATGAATAGAGGAACAAACAAAGTTTCCAATGAAACTAGCAACAAATCGAAGTATAATATTTCGAACTAAACAATCAGTCCACCAGTTTGAAACACAAGAAACTAAAGAAGAAGGAACAAAAAGTAGAATACGTTTAAGAAGTACAAGGAATGATTTTATAGAATTATATTGAGGGAATTTAACCGAAGTG